GAGCTCACTGGAGACCTCGCAGATTGGGGATCGTCACCAAGGCTGATTTTCGTGCAAATGCCATGCCTTCCTGGCCTCCGGATTTCGGGCCAGGGCCGGGCCTCAGACCTGCACAGTTCTTCCGATGAGAAGCGGAAACCTGGGCCGGGGCCTGGGGTCTCGACCTTTGAAGATCCCCTGCTCCCACCCCGCTAAAGTATGGACCGCCCTTGGGCCGGAGAGAGGAAGTGACTTTGATATCACCGATTTTCCACAATTCTCTCTCGCTCCCAGCAAAAGCTGAAGAGCAGTTCCTTTCCTGTGGGTTCTGGGAGCATTTCGTCTAAGACAAGCTGCTTAATTTTCCATTGTATTATTTGACTGAAGTCTGTCTGTCTATAAGTCAGCCTCCATCTCTTCCTCTCTGTCTCTCTGTCTGTCTCTGCGCCAAGTACTGTGTTAAACTGTTTACAGAGAGAATACTGCCGAATCCTTAGCCTAGCCTCGTGAGATACGTACTGCTATTATCTTCATTTTATAAAGACAGAAGCAGAAGCCAAGAGAGATTACGCTACTTGCCTAAGTTCAAGTAAATGTTGCTCTATTAACCAAGACTTTCTGGTCTGTCCTAAACATGTACACATTGAGTGTGTTTGCTCTTTACCATGCGTGGGCAAACATCAGAATATAACCTCCCCCCTCCCCACCAAGGGAGGGTCGTATCTAGAAAGGTGTCCCAGACCAGGGGTCATTTGCATCTGGTTTCCAAGGGATGATGAAACGTTTTCTAGGCAGGACAGAAGAGGAGAATGTGTTCTCGCAGAAGGAGATGAGCGAGCAAAGAGGGCCGCAGGAGAGAGCTGGGCACCAAGAGAGGCTGCAGCATGGTGAGCGCCAGCAGGTGAGCTGGAAAAATGGGGTAGGGGCAGGTCCTGATGGGCCTTGAATGCCAGTCTGGGGACTTTGGACTTTATCCTGAGCTCCCTGGAGGGTCGTTGAGGATTGCTTTATTATGAACAATGTCAAACATGCACGAATATGATGAGAATAATAAAATACCTCCCACTTTGTTCCCACCATCCAACCTTAACAACAATATTTTGCCATTATTGTTCATTGATTTTTTTCTATATTTTTTTAATTTTAATTTTTAATTTTTTTGTGGTGAGGAGGTAATTACGTTTATTTATTTATTTTTAATGGAGGTACTGGGGATTGAACACAGGACCTTGTGCATGCTAAGCATGTGCTTTACCACTGAGCTACACCCTCCCCCTTTTCTAAAGTTTTGAAGGAAAGTTAATAAGTGAAAAAAATCAGAGTACAAAATTATATATTTTTGTTTAAAAAGGCCTGTATGTTTTTATACATGAATCCAGAATATGAAGGTAGATAAACCAGCATGTTAAAAGTTCTCGTCTAGTGTCTGATAAGATTTCATATGATTTAAAAATGATTTTCGTTTTTCATTGATGGTTTTTGTGTAGGGTGATGTGGTAAGATTCCTGTTTTTCCAGAATCTCTTGGAAGCAGGGCTGGGGGTGGGGTGGGTAGTGAGGTGTTGAATGGAGAAAGAGCAGAAAGAGGGGTGTGGCAGGAGACAGTGAGGATCTCTCCCAGTCACAAGGAGGGGGTTGAGCAGAGACCCATTGAGAAGCAAAATTGACAGTGGAGAGGGATAAGGGCAGGAGGTGTTGGGGAGGGTCTAGGATGACACAAGATTCTGAGTTGGTTGATGGGCTGGCTGGAGCTCCATCCCCTCTCACTGCACCCCAAGCCTTTGGACAGGGACACACGGCAGGTGTATAATCAGGTCCCTGGATGCTCTTTGGATTTCAAGTCCTACATAGGTCATTTGTCTTTTTTTTTTTGTGGCCAGGCTTCATTTTATCTTCTGAAGTTTAAATGGTATAAACCTGGTCATTTTTCTTGGAGACAGTTTCCATGATAATCGCTCACAGTTATTAATTCCTAGCCTCGCACTGGCCATGGCACAGAATCCTGGGTGGCACGCACTGTCAAGTGGCAGTTCACTCATACTCCGTATTTTAGAATCCTCTGGGAGGCCGTCACGCTGGGAGAAATGGCCAGTGACAGAGGCCAGTCCAGTCCATCCTGCTCTTTCTTCCTTTTCACTGTAATCTTGAGAGTTCCTTGGGCTGCTGGGATCCAGCCGGGCACAGGGAGAAAACCTCTAGATACATGTTAAAGGTGGGTGCCTCAGAGAGGTGTGCTCATGGAGCCTGCAGCTACACCCCTGGGTGCCAAGGGGCATGATGGGGAGTGGAAGAGCCTGGGTGGGATGAGGCTTCTGCAACCAAAGCCAGCCTGCCTGCAGGAGACAGTAGAAAAACCAAGGGAGCCCCGGACAAGAAATGCAAGCCACTTTTCTGTACAGGGAATTTGAGGGTTGTTAATAC